CCATGGAGGAGCTGCGGCGGGCAGGTAAGCCCGTCCCCGGTGCCCCCGCGCCCCGCCAGGCGGCTCCCCGAGGAGCCCGGCCGCCCTAAAATAGCCCGCGTCCTCTCCAGCCAGGAGCCCTGCTCCCTCGTAAAGCGAAACCGCGGCTGCAGCTGCAGGAAAAGTCTCGGGCAGTGATTAGCCTGCGGGTCCCAGCGCGGACTGTCGGGGGAAAGGAGCCGCTCAGCCTGGCTTCGAAGGGCTCCCATGCGGCGAGCCTGGGTGCAGCATCCCTGCCAGTCTTTTCAGCCCCCGCTCGGAGGACTTTGTTTTTTAGAAACAGCACTTCAAGGCGGACTCTCTCGTGTGTCTCAAGCAAGGGGGGGTGGGGGAAGAGGCGACCTAGCTGTAGAAACAGCACGGTGGGTTTATTTTAGCACATGAGCGGGGGGCACTGAGAAGGACTTCAGCAACGCAGGATTTTTGCCTTCGGTAGGGCCCTCTGAGGTGGGTCTCCCCAAGGTGCCTGGGTTGCAATCCCTCTCAAAGCATTTGACTTTGGGGCGGACCAGGATGGTTAAAAGAAATCTCATTCTTGGCTTCGAGAAATTATCTGGTGGGTGCAGAGTTAGACTGGACACTACACAAAATGCTCTCTGATAGTTTCTTAGGTACTTCTTCTGTTGCTGGCAGATCTTGACATTTAAAAGTTTTAAGTGTTAGCTCTTCAAAAATGCTTCATAAAGGTGGAAATAGAAAGTGACCAGTCATGTCAAGATGACATGCAACATACAGGGAACTCAATTCAATATTAAAGAAAAAGTTAAAAAATGACTGTGTTGTGGCATGCACTCGATCTTTTTAGTGATTTGTTTATTTTAGCACAAAAAAATAAAAGTGTATACAGTATTTTTTGTATAATAGAAGTAAATAACCTTTTTCCTCCCATCCTCTAACAGGGTGGTACTGGGGCAATATGAGTGTTGCTGAAGCTAAAGAGAGATTACAAGATGCCCCTGAAGGGACTTTCTTGGTTAGAGACAGCTCACATTCAGAGTACCTATTGACTATCTCAGTGAAAACTTCCGCAGGACCAACAAATCTGCGTATAGAATATCAGGACGGCAAATTCAGGCTGGACTCTATCACCTGTGTCAGATCAAGACTTAAACAGTTCAACAGTGTGGTCCATCTGATTGAGTACTATGTCCTCATGTGCAAGGATAGAAGTGGGTCTGAAACAACGTCAAATGGAACAGTGCATCTTTATTTGAACAAACCCCTCTATACTTCAGCTCCATCCCTGCAACATCGCTGTAGGATAACTATAAACAAATATACAAGTAAGATCTGGGAGCTGCCTTTACCAACACGACTAAAAGAGTACTTGAAAGAGTATCAATACCAGGTATAAATATCTTTTCTAAATATGCCGTGTGAATCAGTTTTAAATGCAACTCTTTAAAACCAGCCAAAGAACTAAGTATCTAGCTATACGACTCAGCATGGAATTCACTATTAAAGCAGTGAAAGTTTTGAGGGGAAAAATTGGATTTGAGATGCCACAGAATAAGGCTCTTTGCAGAATAATCCCAGCTTCTGTTTTTGAAGGGATGGAAGGGACTTGGCTCTAGGCTCCTTAAGAAGGGACATTATTGGCTTGTGAAGAGTTAGGACCCTGTCCAGTATGTATGGCCTTATATTGCAAGTCAAGGGCCTAGAGCATTTAGGTGCCATCAAATAATAGCTGAAGTGTTGACCCACAGGAAATGGAAGAGACTGTGCCATTAGATGGGATATGTGTCTCCAAACAAGTCAATTGGCTGTTGCCTGATGCAAAACTAGTTTGGTGCCGATACTGATATATCCATGCAGTCTTAAGTGGATCAGGCTCATGACTCTTGCCAAACTTATGCAACTAATCAAATCCAGTCAAAAAGTGGAACATCTCTCCACTTTTTACTGAACTGACAAGCCTGTGCTGACTTTTTTGCAAGCATAGGAGTCCTGTGATAATCAATTTTTTTTTTCAAAATTCTCTAAACGGATTTAAGGGGGAATGCTTCATTATCTTTCTTCGGAGCACAGGATGTCACCGGTATACTGATTTGATACACCAGGATCTTTGTTAATTTTTAACAGCTTCCAATTGTTTATATCCATGCTATTGAATTTGGCCCCTCTGTTTTTGGATGGGGCTTTAATACTTTCTACCCAGCAGCTTTGGAGTTGCTGTGTTCCAATGTCTAAGTATGGGTATCAGCAGTTATGGCTGTCTTCTACCATGTAGAATATTTACTTTAACTTGTTTCCCAGAAATGTGGGGAAGTCTTTTTATTTCTTTTTTTTTTTTTAAGCAAAGCGTTTACTCACTGTATCTATCAGACTCTATTCAATAAAGTGAACCAAGTTACATGAATATCTGTTTTTTGTATATAGAAATGTGCCACAGTTCAGAAAGTAATGTGATACCACAAATTTCTAGGCTTTTCCAACCAATGTGCAAATGACAGCATAAGAATCAGTACAGATTAATGTTACTACTCCACCTGTTGCAGAGCTACTTGAAGGTATGAGTGGATTATGTTATGATTCCGGAGGTATAGGCTATGTGCTGAATTCTCAAAATGTGAGTGGTAGCAAGGATACTGAAAGGTGCTAGTTATATTGCAGTAGTGTTCCACGGCAACAAATGCGATTGACACGCTATGGTGTTAGGTGATATTCACCACAAAAGAATGGTCTTGCCTCAGTCTAAATCTAAATTAGAAGCTTGTGCAATAAAAGGAAGAACTAAGGTAGAAGTAATACCTGGTTAAATGGGGTAAATAGAGTACAGCTTGATTCTCAAGTGACACTTAACCCTTTACCTGTGTCAAAGTAGAATACAGCTTCAGCAAGGACAACTGACAAGATTTGCCTGGGATTCAGTCAGCTAGGCTTAGATTGCAGCAAAACAAATGTAGCTTTTGTAGTCTGACCTTGTGTGCTACTTCTAGACTCAGAACTCTTTATAATAAGTTCTCTGACAACTTTATGGCATCCAGAATCTCAGTATTGTGTATTCATTTGTTGCAAATCAGAACTGCAGTACTGAATAGGAACAACATGCTATGTCAGTTGGGAAGGAAGGAGATCTTTTGGAATGCTAGAGGCTGGTTCTGCATTGCTTTTCTTTTGAACAAGGTCAAAGGTGACCACCTTCTTCCTGGCCTCTTCCTCCTTGCTTATTTTCAGTTCTTTATCCTTCCCCTTGCATTTCTTGAGGCAGAGCTTATGGGGAAACAGTTTTCTCTTCCTGCAGTTTTTTTAGAATTTCAAATTTTTTCTGGTTTTGCACTGAAACAAAACCCCTCTTATGAGGGCATTTGTGGCTCTCTTGTTTGCATAAAATAATCAAACGCAGAAAGACCCATTCTAGAATAGTCAACAGTCTGGTGCATTCACCTGGGATACAGAGAAACACTGCTCTGCCTGAACCCAAGTGTTCTATCTCCCCATAGCGGGGGTCAGCAACATTTTTGGGCAGAGTGCCAAAAACCCCAGCAAACTCGACTTGTAAGATGTTGGTGTGCCAGGGGTAGATAGTGGGGGAGCCACGAAGGGCCCGATCCTTGTGGCAATACAACCAAGGCCCCTTCCCTGCCATCCACCCCAAGGTGCACATGCTGCGCACAATGCCTTCACGTGCCACACTGGCACCCATGCCAGGGGTTGCCTACCCCTGCCCCATAGGATGACTGTCCTAACCATGTCATTGTTCAGGGGTTGTTGTCTCTGCTGTTGGGAAATTGTCTTCTGGATTTGAGATGTCTTTCCCAATGAAAACTTCACCAACACTGGCACATATGAAAGTTTTAGTTTTGATCAGCTGGCATTTTTTGGTTAAAAAATAAATAAACCTCAGAACCAGGCAATCTATTGGAATGCCCATTGCTACAGCCAAGAGAACATAATAGTGTCTCTATATTAGCCATTTTAGTGCTGACCATTTTTAGCAAAGCTGATATTTGAAGTGTCCGGAAATGTCATAGATCCCAGGCACAAAAGCAATGGACTGAGTCCCTACACCAAGATTCTACAACCAGTGGACCAAAGTCATAAGACAAACTGGGAATGGGGCAGAGAGACGATTGGGGAGCTAGAAAGAAAAAAGCAATAAGATGGTCATGTCTTAATTATGATGAACACAAGTCAGTTCACCACTGGCAGGTGTCCCTACAGGCCTCACAGCAGGGATGCATTCAGAGTTGGGATCTGAAGACAGATGAGGTAGGTAGCCAGAGGGAGTTTTGTGGGATGCTTTCCAGTGTATAAGGGCAGCTACTGGTTGAAGGCTGGGAATACTAGTGAGCAGAGGTAGTAGTTGATGTAATAATCCAAGACCAGTTAAGAGTGGAATTAAGCCATAATATGGTCCATGCTTCAGGCAAGTAGACTGCTAAACATGATAGATAAGTAGATTGGAGTGGTAGTTTGTGATGTGTTGGAAGCAAGAAACACTATTTTGAATGAATTTGAGGGGGACCAAGGCTAGTATGAAATTAGTATAAGCCCAGCTTCTCATTGGTACAGCCCATGGATTTTGCATCAATACAATTTATTCTCTTTACCTCCATGTGCTAGGGCAAAATCACATTGCATACTTAGTAACAGGCTGTATGGGCTGTGTGAATTTTCCAGCAATTTGTTGAATATGTAATGTTTAATTTCTGACTCTTTGGATTCAAAAAGTGATTGTAAACTATTGTTTTGAATCTAGTCTCATCCGGACTGGATTATTATTGTCAACATGAAATAGTTGACAGGTATTGGTCAAGTCCACAAAAGTCACAAGACTGGTTATCAGGATTTTTTTTAAGCATTGGCTCTTGTTTTGTTGTTGTTGTTGTTGTGAATCTTTCAGTATAAAAACATTTTTAATTGTTCTCAGCAATTATCACTGCTGTAAACTTTCTCATGAAATGAAAGTTAGGAGCCTCATGATTTTAAAAGGTTATGCTTTTGATGTGGAAAACCAATGAAAGTTATGTGCTGGCAACACTACAGACATGAACACAAATTCTAACTGACGTGTCACTTAAGGTTCCATCTTGGTTGTTTAGGTATCAAGTATTGAAATGTTGCTTGTTCTATAGTGAAGTGAATAAATGGCTGTACTACAAAGTGGGTGGGTAGGGTGGGAATGCAACCAAGCAGCTGCACCCATCACATTAAAGTAATTTAATTTTAATCTGATCTCTTTAATATTACTCTAATTATATTTTATATAACCACCTTCTACGTAAACAGTTTCTAATTACTGTAGAGAAGGTGTGGACTTAGGAGGGAAAATGGTTCACTAGAAGGTAGGGTTTTTTTATTAGCATAAGTAGCTCACAGCCTGAAATACAAGATTTTAAGTCCTAGTCCCTAAATAAAATGGGAAATGCAACATCCTATTGGTGGCATGAACTCTTATCTTATCAAACTTCGTCATATCTCAGGCAAACTTTCAGCAAGTCATTGTCCTTGCTATTAAAGCTTGTACATGATAAATGAGTTAAATGGAGTTTCTTTCTATTTATTTTTAACACTTTTCTAGATACATGCTGCAGAATATTTTTATGACAATTCCTGTGGAATGAGTAGGATTTCACTTTTAATAGTTTGGATAAAAATGTAGAAAATACAGATGACACGAAAAGAAAGCATTCAGAATTGGGTATTTCATCTAAATAGTCTTTGAACATTTTAAAAATGTTATTACTTCAGGCACTAGAATAAATTCCCAGATATCACATTGATGTAGCCAGAATTAATGAATGAATTGCATTAATTTCTTTAAATGTATTTGGGTCTCACCCTTTTTGTGGAAGGAGAGTCACTTGAACAGCTTTGTGGAAATGGAATGAAATTCTATCACACACATACATTTGCTGTTTCAAAACCAGAAGTTCATCTACAAACCACCAAATGAGCAGAGCTGGCCAGTATACACAATGGAAATAGGTGTGAGAAGGTCCTTCTACCTCAGTCTGAACCCTGCAAAAGCACTTTTCAGAGTGTTAACTTTTCCATGTCTATAATACAATGGAAAACACTATGCAAACAAACTTGAGAGTATACCTAGCTAAAGAGAAGATACCACCTCACAGCATGATTTTAGTCTGTATGCCATGATATAGTTCAAATTCAGGCGGTAATACGCTGAACATACACTGAAAGAACCTGGAACCAACATTTGTTACCAACTACTGCTGGGATCATTAATACTGAGCAAATGCCTTAACCCTTCAAAATCGCAAATAATTTTGTTAGAAAAGGGATCGGTTACACTGTTGGTCCAGCTAGAGCAACTACAACATCATGTTTAGAAAATATTCTGCTTGCTAAGGGGGTGATTTCCTGCAGCTTATGGTCGTCCAG